GGGAGTCCGAGTTCAACTGCTGCTGGAACCTGGCTTGGAATGTCAGCTGCTGGAACTGGAGCCCAAACTGCACTTTGTTCAGAGTTACAGACAACCTCCATTCCTGAGGTGTCCATAAGTCTGAGGTTTTACTGTACTGCCTCGCTAGTTATTTTCCATTTTGTAGTTGTGCATTTGATACTTCCCTCCTAAATGTACTTGTCTTATTGAATTTGCTTTGCACTTGTCCTACTGAATCTCATCTTGTTGATTTCAGACCAATTCTCCAATTTGTCAAGGTTGTTTTGAATTCCAATCCTGTCCTCCAAACTGCCTGCAACTGCTCACAGATTGTGTTTCTGAATACTCTCCGCTCCATTAGCAAGTCATTAATGAAAATATTGATTAGTACTGGACATAGGAGAAACCCCAGCCGGACCTCACTAGATACATCCCCAATTTTGAGAGAGAACCATTGATAACTACTCTGAGTACAGGCTTTCAACCAATTTTGCATCCACTCTCACATTCCGGGGCACAATCCAGACCAGTGAGGGTTTGTGTCACCACCTGCCCTGCAACCTTAGGTGCCTAACAATGCCTTGCTGATGTAGCTCCCAATTTGAGCCCCTCACAAACAGCATGCAGGTCACACCATACATGTCTGTATATAGCTTGAGTCCTGGTCCAGCCACTCTGACACTAGCAGCCTGTCAGCTGCACACCAGCCACACTCTGGTTTCCAACAGGCTTGTTTACTACTTTCAGAGTGACCGCAACACACTTCCAGTCCTGAATTGTTCCCAAAAACATGTGGTTCTGCACTGTCCAGCCCTCTCCTGGGCAGTTCAGATATTAGACGTCCATTATACCTGTAAGATGGAAATGTACAACAGTTTGCTACTTTAACTGGAGTTACCAAACAATTCAGTTTAAACAACACTGACTAGTTCGGACTACAGAATAAAAAGTTTATTATACTACAAAGAGAGAGGTTTTAAGTGAGTACAAGTACAAGGCACTAAAATCAGAAATGGTTACAAGAGAAATACAGATAAAATGTTTCCTAGTAGTAAGACTCAACTTAAACTAGACTTGGTTCAAGATAAAATTCTTACATGTTCCCAGCAACATAGCTGACCAAGTTCTTCAGTCAGAATCTGCCTTGAAAGTCTAAAGGGCTGGTTCCTTTGTCTTTTTAGGTGAAAGTGAGTGAGAAAGAATCCCTGGGGTGTTTTTACCCCTCACTTTTATAGTCCAGTCCCATTTGAAGTGGATTCATCTAAGGATTACCCCCCTCAAAGCAAAGTTTATTCAAACAGTAAAGAAGGTGATGTGTAGTCTGATCATCAAGGTGCTCTCCTGCTCTTTCTCCTCCCTTGTATATGGGGAAGTGCAGATTTGCCTTGTCTCTCTCTTGCTGTCTCAAGGACCTCGTTTACTACTTGTATATAAATTGAGGTAAACGCACATTCCTTTAAGACAGCCTCCACTAGGCAGGAGTGGTTAAGCAGCTCTATGTGGGTCTGAACATGTGCTATCAACCTCATACAGGGGGAAATTATAACTTCACATATAGTGTTGTTGCATACATTTTACCATATTATTGACCAGCAAGATATTATTTTTCAAATAATATCTCACAAGGCATATTTTGTACAAAGATTATTACAGTGGTGTATAGGGTGTGAATACAAGGGTGCGAATACAAGGGTGCATTGGGTCACACTCACCTTCTAGTAATTTCATCTAGACCACATTTCCCTAGTTCACGTATGAGAATGTCATGTGGGACTATGTCCAAAGCCTTACTAAAAATCAAAATCTCTCACATCTACTGCTTCTCCTCTACTAACCAGGCCAATAAGCCTGTCAAAGAAGAAAATTAGGTTGGTTTGGCATGATTTATTCTTGATAAATCCATGTTGACTAATGCATATAATCCTATTATCCTTTAGGTGCTTACAAATTGATTAATAATTTGTTCCAGTATCTTTCCAGCTATCAAAGTTAGGCTGACTGGTCTATAATTCCCCTGTTTAAAGAGAGGTACTATGTCTGCCCTTCTCCAATCTTCTGGGATCTCCTCTGTCCTCAATGGGAGCACACTTCTTTGTAAGTATACATGAAAGTTGAAAGAAAAAAAAAATCAATTCTTAACAACAGAAAACACATTTACAAAGTATTACTAATAGGTCATGGTGTGTTTTTAAAAGTTTAAAAACTCACCCAGGCTTGAAACACATCCAAGACACCTACTAACCAGAGACTGATATGCCAGGTGAGAGGAGGACACTACCAATGTGGTTGAGAAACAACATCCTGGTAAGAAACCCATAGTTCCTGGGATGGGGGAGGAATTTTGCCTATCAAAGTACTGCCTCTTGACCCTCCTTGGGGTTCCTTCCCATCATTTTCTGGCTAGTAGGTGTGTCATTAATTTGAAAGTCTTCCTTCCATCTTATATATAGAATTCTCCTCTTCCTCACAGTCAATTTTTGGGTCTTCCTTTACCTGCCTCTAGGGTGGCTCATAGCTTTCCTAAGAATCAGAGTGAAAGTGACAAGATTCTTGACAGTTTTACCACTGACCCTCCCCAAAACATACCAGAGTCTTATCAATTTTTCTCTGCTCCTACTTCAGAAGCTATAAGCTGCAACAGCAGCAGCAAAAAAGCTGTACACATGTAGAATCAAGTAGACAGGAATACTATCTTTGCAACCATAAGTGATAGAAACCTAATTATTTTTTTAAAATAAAAACTTGCATTCTGCAGAAATTGATGACAGAGAACTCTGACAGAACAGTCCAGAAGAGAAGTAAATACTCCTTCTTGTTCTAGTAATTTTCACTGTATTAAAAAGTAATCCACTCACTGGTGGCAAGTACATGAGTTGATTTTAGAACAATAAGCGCAAGGGAATGGGAGTCATGGCCCTGCTTTTGTTCTACTAATAACTTGGTATGGGACACCAGGCAAATTACTTTGTTTCCTAAATGCTTCATTGCTCCAGTGTCCCAACAAAGCTGTAAAATAGGGATACTGCTACTTATCCTTATCACAGGAGAATATGAGATTTAATATAAAATTGAGTTCCATAAACGACAGAGTTTTGAGTTCCTTTGATGAAAGGTGCTATTGTAAGTGCAAAACACAGGCTGTGGCAAGTGAAGACAGACAAAGGTAGAAAGACTTGTCAGCTATTTTAAAATGCAATTTGAAAACTATATATTAATCTGAGCTCTTATTTAAGAAAATCCTTTTATGTGGTTTGAAATAAAAAAAATTCATTTTACTACAGAATTTAGACATACACCCCAGAAAATAAGAGATATCAGAAAAAAGGTTCAAACCTCAACAGAAACATGCATTGCCACCACCCTCACCCCCCCACACACACACAGACACACACACGCGACAAAAAACTAAATGCTGTCGTTTAGGCAAGCAATATAGCAAGTAGGACTAGGACTAGAACCAGGAATCCTTAATCAGGCAAAACACAGCGAACTGAAGTTTCGCCTAGGTAAGCACTGTAGAATAAAGTCTATAGGGATAATGAGAAATAAGTGAAATTAAATTCATAGATCTAAAAAGCTCCAAGTGGCTTCGCTGTGACTCTCCCACTCTACTTCCACTCCTATTTAAATAAGCAGCTCCCATCACAGCTGTCTCAATTCCTTTCCACTTCCTCAGTTATTTCACCCATCCCCTTTATTCCCTGATCGCTCAACGATTTTCACTTAATTTGTCCTTTTCTGATCAGAGTGCTCAGTTCATTAGATGACTCACTGAAGAGGTACCATATTAAAAAAAAAAAAGGTATCCTGTTTAAAAAATGGCATCTACACTTACTGAAATTTTGAGACCTAATTAGGGAGTCACAAGCAGCAACTCCAATGTTACAGAATTTGCGGGAGAGGAGTTTAAGTAACAAAATATTTTGAAATTCTGAAGTTGTTTCAGTTTCACAATGGTCTAAAGGCACCATTTTTTGGCAAAATGGTCACTTTCCATAAACATTTGTGAAAATGTTAGCAAAACTCAAAATATTTCAATAACACTGACAATTTTGCAAACATTTTCAGTTCATAAAGATGAAAAATTTCATTCAAAATATTTCAACCAATATGTCATCTCTAATCTACAGACTCCTCCTCCTGCAGTACTGCTAAAATGTTCCCCCGGCTGAAACACCAATAATTACTACCAGGTTTAAAAGATGTTCATTTTAGCTGCAGACCAAACTCTGGCTCAGAGAGACAGAGAGCAAATTCTGGAGTCAGGAATCCTCCCTTCAGAATGAAAGGTTGCTCCCATTTTAAGTTCTACATTTGACCCTCCAACTTGCACAGAATGCTTTCTTTTGTTTTACAAATTTTCAGACTTAATTTCACACTAAATATATTTTTTTTAATAAGGAGCCAGGAGCAGAAAAATGGATGGAGGTAAATCACAGAAGGAATTTGGGAGTTAGAGGGCTTTGAGAAAGTACAGTTCTCAGTATTCTTTAGCCACTCAACTCAAAAGCAGCCACAACTATCATTAGAAAATAGTCTAAACCAGTTTGCCATACGCTTTGCCCTCTAGACACCAAATTTGATGCCATACCACTATCTTCCTTTCTCCCCATGCCTTGCATCCCTCATCCTATTTTCACTGGCCAAACAGAGCATTGTTATCCACCCCTTTCATTCTCTTCCACTGGCTAATCATAAAGTCCACTCTGCTTCTTCCCCCCGCCAAACCTCCACACCCCAACATTACTGCCCACTCACTTCAGCAGGTACCCCCATGGACCCTCTCCTCTGTCCAGGTCACCTACTCACCATCATACCCGGCTTGTAGAGATACACCCCTAACCACAAGCTCCTCACAGACACCTGGCCTCTGTCATTACCATCCAGCTTCCTTGCCCCTGAAAGTCATTGCTGTCCCCCACACAGCTGCAGCAGGTTCTAACAGTGTCACAGGCGGCCAACTAAAAACCGCCTGTTAGTGACTGAGGCCAAATACTCACCCAGCAGCTCGTGGCTCCTGTGCAGAAGCCTCCAGCCTCCTCCAAGGCGGAGAAAAGCACAAGCCCCCGCGACTAGTCTCCCACCCGGGAGTAGTTTGACCATCTCTTTACTGCTGCAGCTCAGCCACAAGGAGGCTGCCATCTTGCTCTCCTCCCACCCAAGGCTAGGGCTGTCCAACTCACTGCCTGAGAGAAAAGATAGCCCCGCCCGGCACGCCCAACTGCTGTCCCACCCCTAATTGTCTCAACACAAATAAACACCCCCTTGCAGCCACGGCTAATGTGTGCTCCCTTATGGGGGAACCCACTACTCCTCCTTCCCCGCATACAGCTGGAGCAGGACTAGCTACCTCCTTGCACAAGCCAAAAGACACACACTTCAATTCAAAACTAGATGAGTGTTGCTGAAGTACAAGGGTCAGAGGTTCATTTGTGTCGAGCATCTGCCTAGGGGAGGGCTTCAGGTGGTGTTTAGGATTTGACTTCCCCATAATAGCCTTCGTTTCAGGTATTGCCAAACCTGAGCGTTCAAAAATCAAAAGTCAGAGACCCAAAATAACGTGATAAACTTAAAAAGCATGATTTTTTTAAATAATACATTTGGGGTTTGTTTGCTATCTCGTTTATGAGCCGTTAGGGTTCACTTGGATCACATTTTCAGGCTCTCCTCCGCCGTGACAAAAGCATTATTTTTAATGACAAACGAGATTCACACCTAACAGCCACCTAACTCCAGAAGCTGCGGACTGAAAGCGAAACCCACGGTACAGTCACAAGCGTTGGCAACAGTGATTGGTTTGCGGCTTGGCCCCATCGCACTAAGCGAGGTCCGAAGAGGGCCCTGCCCAGGAGAGCTCAGGAGCTGGGGCTAAGATGAGAGACGACGGCTGGGTAGGATAGACCGGGGCCGTGTCCACCAATCGGGATGCACAATATGAGGCTGCTTCTGCCACCGCCTTCCTTCGTGTCCCGGTGCCGCTGTCTCCGCACCGCCGGCACCGGTGTCCAGGCCATCACCCAGGTCTCCCCTAGGTCAGGCCCCCGCTGTCCGGGCCGGGGTTAAGCACAGACAGATACTCTGGGCACGTGTCTTTCCTCTCTCCTCCCCGCCTGTTGGCCGCTGGAGAAGGAAGCGTCTCGCCACCCGCTGGGCCCCTGGCCTGGGGCCGCCTCAGCCACTCGGACTGCGGGCGGGGCGGGGCTCGGAGGTTTATGCTCCTACACCTGCCTAAACGCGCCTCCCCCGGGCAGCGCCGCCCCAGCAATTGCGGGACAATCCCGCCCTGGGGCTACGCCCGCCCTGCCTGAGCGGGGACCCTGGGCTCCCCGGAGCTGAGTCCCTGCCTGCGCCGGGGGCGAGGAAGGACCCCGGGGTCCGCCCCAGCGCTGCGGGTCCAGACGGCGCCATGGCTGCGGCTGGGGGCGGCCTCTGCTGCCCGCGCGGTGGCGGTTGCGTGGCCGGGGATGCATCGCAGGTAGGCGCGGGGGCCTCGGCATCTGGGGGCCGCGACCTCCTCAGCGCTGGACGCGGCTTGGCAGCGTGCGCGGAAGCGCTCAGGTGGTCCAGGGACAGAAAGCTCAGCGCTCTGCAGAACCCAGGCCACTTTATCAATTGCATCGGGAATTGGTACTGACTGGGAGGGCCGAGTGCCACACACTGAGTTGCCTGACCCTTTCCTGCAGCAGCTGAGATTTCTTTGGAGGTCCCCATCAAGTACTGATTGACCTATCCCAACTCAAGATCTGTCAAAATGAAAGCCTGATGTGGTGCATTCATTGTAGTTAAATAAGGGCCATAACTAAGGCTAAGATTTTGTCATGGATATTTTTAGTAAAAGTCATGGACAGGTCACAGGCAAAAAAAGAAAATACCTGTGACAAAATGCGGATTTGCGGGTCCCCACACTGCCTGAGGCAGGCAGCTGCACAGGGGCTAGGAGCTGCCTGCCTGCAGCAGCTGAGGGTTGCGGGGAGCCCTTGCTGCCTGCAGTTCCGGGATTTCCCCGCCAGCTCTTGGAGCCCCCACTGCAGCAGCCAGGAGCTCAGGGGATTCCCGTGCCACAGGTGGCGGCCGTGATCTCTGGGGGGTTCTGCGGCCGGGAGCTCGGGGGTACCCGCCGCCCATGGCAGCTTGGAGCTCCTGGAGTTGCTAGAGACGGCAAGGGTACCCCGCAGCTCCCTGCCTCCATGGGCGGCAGGGGACCCGGCAGCTCCCAACCACCTCAGGCTGAAGTCACAGAGGTCACTGGAAGTCACCGAATCTGCGGCCTCCGTGACTAAATTGTAGCCTTCACCATAATGCACCAAGATGTGTTTTAGCCAATTTTAGTTTTATAATCATTTTATCAGTCTTAAATGTTCAAATAATTTTCATACATAAGAGCAACTAGAACAAATCCTGTTTTGGGACAAACAAAAGAAATCTATCTTTGGGACAAATAAGTCTATCTTGGATAAATTTATCTGTATTTTTAATTTCATTTAGATTATGTATGTCAATAGTTGCTTTTACTAAATTACCGTATATACTCGTTCATTAGCCCGTTCGTTTATAAGCCGACCCCCCAAGATGGTTAGGTAAAAATAGCAAAAACTGTATGACCCTTTCATAAGCCAACCCTATATTTCAGGGGTTGGCATACTTTGGCTCCTGGCCCGTCAGGGTAAGCCGCTGGTGGGTCAGGACATTTTGTTTACCTGGAGCGTTCACAGGCACGGAGCCCCTCAGCTCCCTGTGGCCGCAGTTTGCCGCTCCCATTGGCTGGGAACGGCGAACTGCAGCGACAGGGAGCTGAGGGGCTACAGGTAAACAAAACAACAATGTATTAGATATTCAATTTAATGATTCATAGAGTTTAAAATCATCAAATTTTGGTGTAGACCCGTTTATAAGCCAACCCCCGCTCTTTGATGCGTCACTTTTTTACCAAAAATATTCGGCTTATGAACGAGTATATACGGTAAACTTGCTTTAAAGTATTGTAGCTATCCAAAGAATACTTGTGGTGATTTACTGCAAGGATCTGGTGCCTTAGAAACAGCTATTGTGAAATATCAGTTGTATGATTTCTTCTGCAGATGTCTGGTTCATTCCACTTGTTTGTAAGGGAAATATACATATTGTCCCTAAGATTTTGTCAAGGGAAGACACATATTTAATACATTGCATATTCACCTTAGTGTCCTAAAATAACATTGGTGGTCCACTGTATTTTGGATTGTAAAGCTATTGAAAACGGTCTTCAAAAGTCCTAATGGGTTTATTAAACTTAATTAAATTTATTAAACTTGTTAAACAAATTACCTTATATTACAATATGAAAATTAATTTAACACATTTCGAGACCCTAATGTAGTACAAATGGTTGAAGTCAAATGGGAAAAACTAATTTTCCTTGACACCTTAGACTCTATTGGCTTTAAAAAAATAACTTTAATAAAGTATCCAATTCCCAAAGAGACAAAGTGGGTGAGGTAATATCGTTTATTGGACCACCTGCTGTTGGTGATGGAGACAAGCTTTTGAGCTTACACAGAGCACTTCTGCAGGTCTGGGAAACTTACTCAGAGTGTCACAGTTAAGTAAGTTTCCCAGACCTGAAGAAAAGCTCAAAGAGTAGGCTCAAAAGCTTCTCTCTCTCACCAACAGAAGTTGGTCCAAAAGAGATTACCTTACTCACCTTGTCTTTCTAATATCCTGGACCAACACGCTACAACAAGACTGTATATCCCATTACTATTGATTTAATAGTAATTCTGTAAATTCTAAATAAATGATTTCAGAAAACATCAGTTATTATCTGGAAGCTCATTTTAAAGTATAATCTGGTAAGATAAAACAATAATTTCTTCTCAGAGCTCATGGAAATTTATGTCATTTTTCTTTGCAGCCAGTATTATAAAAACTAGACTAAGATCATAATAACATGGAAGGCATCAAAAGGAATTGGATTGTTCTTATAAACCAAACCAGAAAAGTAACAAGCCAGATCTCAGCTGATGTAAATCAAATAACTCCATTGGCTTCAGTAGACTTGTGCTGATATACATCAACTGAGTATCTGGACTAATGTGTGTTTACTTGGCATCTTCCAGAGTGTGAAAAATGAAGAATGACAAATCAGTAGCAATCTCAGTATAAAACTCATGTTAAAACTGTATTTTAACTGTTACTAATGACCATTTAGATTTTTAAAACTGATTTAATTGTAATAGTCTAATTTATTTTTCACCAATGTAAATATAAATGCTTAGGATTCTTATACTCACTCAGATAAAATGTAGTATAGTTACATAATTTAAAATCTTCTAAAGTTTCTTTTGTGCATTTTAACAAGCTGCCTTTTTTAACTGTCTTGCTTGACGACAAAACACAGTCAATGTTGTTTTCAAAAGATAATAAGCCACAGCGGAACAGTGATGTCTGTGTTTCAATTTATATCAGTTGTACAAATGACAGCCAGTCCAGATTTATCAAAGATCCTGGATTATGTCTGTTGAATTTCAAAGTGCCTCTTAAACATGTTCACAGCTAAGGTTCATATGGAAAATACAAGTATCAGAGGGGTAGCCGTGTTAGTCTGTATCTGTAAAAAGCAACAAAGAGTCCTGTGGCACCTTATAGACTAACAGATGTATTGGAACATAAGCTTTTGTGGATGAAAGCTTATGCTCCAATACGTCTGTTGGTCTATAAGGTGACACGGGACTTTTTGTCCCTTTTTATGGAAAATACAGCCATTGCCTATTATGGGAAAGGACTACAATGTTAAATCTATATAACCATTTAATTTTTAAAAATTGGAAACACTGTTGTATTTGATTTAAAATACCATAGTTGATTTTCATGGCTATGTGATGAATAAATAGAGCATTTGCGGATCCTGGAAAAATACAGGAGGGGTGTTTTTGTTTTTGTTTTTTGTAACCCTGGAATTCTGTGGAAAAATGCTGGGAATTTCTTAATCTTCTTGATTTAAAAAAACATGCTGAATGTGAATTTTTTTTTTAATTCATCTCAGTTTTTCCAGTGATGTTAAAACTAAAGGGAACAACTGTATTGTCATGGTCACAGCATTTATGACAGTCTCCCTACCAACCAGAGAGAATATGGAGCACCTAGAAATAGTGTCATCATCATTTACAATTTATACACGTATATA